AACCGCTTGGGCACTTCATTGAAATGTACCAAGTTAGCAGGAATGGAAATGGTCTCTTCATGGCTGCAGTGTTTGAGATTAACACTGGTTAAGGAGTATTGGTAAAATCAGAGCAATTTTGATGTATTTGTTCAGTTTTGGCTCCCAATTGAAACTGGAAGTATAAAGAAGCATTTAAGGATTTGAATGAAGTTGGCAAGGAACAGAAAACCGCTTGGGCACTTCATTGAAATGTACCAAGTTAGCAGGAATGGAAATGGTCTCTTCATGGCTGCAGTGTTTGAGATTAACACTGACTCTGGAATTAGATATTTTCTGTTCTGAGATACCAGTGTGTAAGTGCATTGCTGGTGCACTTCTATAGCAAAACCCTCAATGTCCTTGCATATTCTTAGGTGGTGTAATGTTTTTGGCTTTTGTTGTTGGTCTTTGGTGGGACTTCATGGGTTTCTTGAAATTGAGTTCAGTTGGTGGATCATTTTGTTTGCTTATTGTTGTTGTTTCAAATAAGAAAAAAATAAGTTTCAAATAAGAAAAAAAAACCTTCTCCACCTAAACCCACAACAACCCACACCCTACTATATTAAAAATAGGAATTCAGTTATGTGCCCCAGTTTACATTTTTTCAATTCCTCTCTTGAAATGCATGTTTTCTCTGGATTGTTCCCTGCACTTTATGACTTATTCAAACAAAATCTGTAACATGTAGTGTCTAAAATGTTTCCATTCGTAGGATGATATTGCTTAAATGTATTTTTTGTGTGTGTGTGTGCGTATATATATATATGTATTTTTGTATTTAGTCTTCAGATTCCTGTCAGACGCCAAAATGTTTCTGTCAAAACATTTGCTATTGCATTAAAAAATCAGTTGAGGCCGTGCGAGTCACAGAAGCAGATAATTCTCAAGTTTTACTAATTGTGGATTCAGTGGTGGTTTAACTGTGACAGTTTTCCATTACTGTGGTGCAAGAGAATGGCACAGTCTCCTTTTGTGTGTTTTTAGGTGCACATGTAAGCTACATGAGAAGAAAGAAGTTAGAATGTCGTATTTATTATTTTATGTTTCTACCTCTTTTACCTGTCCATGGGATTATACTGCATGTATTTGGTGATTTGTGTGTATTCATTCCTGACCACGTGCTAGAAGAGCAGCATGTCCTTGATTTCTCCTTTTATTATGGTTTTAAATTATTCCAGTTTTGAGCAAGTCTGTAAAATTCTAAAAACTTAGCGACATTCTAAGCTGTGAAATTGCATCTGGGAAGATTGTTTTATAGAAGATGTGTATATATATGTATATATCTAAAATACTTCATATATGTAGTACTGTATTAGCAGTCAGTGCATAATTTAATGTAGAATTTGATAAGTAATGGTTTTAGTACATCAGTATTATTTTTGTGAGTTTAGAAATACATAGAATAATCTATTTCTCTTCCTGTGAACAAACCAGCCAAAGGATATTGACAGTAAAAGGAGGGGAAAATGTTGCTGTTATCTAATATGCCATAGGTTATATTTGTTTGGTTGTTGTCTTTATTAGGGTTAATTTTGTTTGTTGTTGGTCAGACATCAGTGGGAGGATTTGGTGTTTTCAGACTATTGCTTAGGAGCAGTATAAGTTGGGAGTGAGTGAAAATTAGCTCCTCACTAAGAACAACCTCACCTTTTTATGCATGCTTTTCTAAGCCTTTAGCCTAACCTAAGATAATGTAGTTCCAGCATGAACCTCTTCTCTAAGACTAGAGCTTAGGATGCTACAACCCAGTTCATGGAAGAGATGAGGTAGGAGTTGCTTTTCTCTTCCCCACAGTTGCTTCATCTTTCAAACTCTCATGTTCCTTCTGGTCAAGCATTAGTATTTATGGCTTACATCTTTATGTATATTTTTATTATTTTATAAAACAGGAGAAATTTTTTAGGTAATTCCTGGATTAAATTCAGCTCAGTTCCCTAGGCTTGCTCCCTATCCATCTTCAGAGGACCTCATACTATCAGAAAAGAAGGGAAAAGAGCAAATCTTCATCTTTGATCACCACCATGGATTTATTTCCTGCTTATACTGGGCCCGGATGGGTTAATTTTCTTTGTGGATTGTGTTTTGGGTTTGTGACTAAAGCTGTTGGTAACACACTGCTGTTTTGGCTATTGCTGAGCATCACTGGCAGTGTCACCCCCCTGGTGAGTAGGCTGGGGTGGGCAAGAAGCTGGGAGGGGACATGGCTGGGCCAGCTGGTCCCTATTGACTGTGAGATATTCTGTGCTGTAGAACATCATGCTCAGCAAAAAAACCTGAGGGGACTGATGGGTTGGCTGGAAGATGCCTATTGCTGCTGGGCATCAGTCTGCTTGTGGGAGTTGGGGAGTGGTGGAGAACACCACTTGGTGGTTTTTCTTCTTCAGTTTCATCTTCACTGAATGAACTCTGTTTAGCTGGACCCATACATTTCCTTACTTTTCCTATTCTCTCCTGTCTCACAACAGTGGGAGATGAGTGAGCAGAGGGTGTAAGATCAGTATCTGCTGCCTGGGATTAAGCTGCTGCAGACTCAAATCACTCAAACATTTTATTCTGTGTTTGCAATGATGTGATCCTGAATATGATGGCAGAATAAACCACTCATTGTTTCGAACTTTGGCATTTATTTAAGCATTCATGTTGGTATTTCTTCACCTAAGCTGGATCTTGAGAAGCAGTTGTACTGCCTTGTGGTCAAGGGGAGGGTGGTTGATTGGGAGAGCTGGGAGGGAAAGGGGTTGGACAAACAATGCTTGAAAAAGTTGTGCTCATTTTTCAGTTTTAACTTGCAGTGGCATTGGGTTGTTTTTTTGTTTTTGGGAACAAATGAAAAATTTCTTAATTGATCCTTCTTAATGCAAGCATTATGCTGCAGCTAAATACTTGCTGACTTTAGGTTTCTTTACCAGCACCTAGTGGCATATAAGCCAAATGGGTGGGTTGATCCAGCTGGAAGCTTCACAGCTTTTCCAAGCTTTCACTTAGTATTTTTAGGAGAATTTTTAGAGTTTTCACTTGGAGTAGTTTCACAACCAGTGTATCGTATTCTGTATGAATAATAAACTGATTTAGGATGAAAAAGACCTTTAAGACCTTTTTAAGAGTCCAGGTGTTAACGCAGTCTTGCCAAATCCATCACTAAACCATGTCCTTAAATTCCACATTTGCACATCTTTTAAATGCCCCCAGGGGTGGTGACTCAGCATTTCCCTGGAGAGCTTATTCCAGTGCTTGTGAATTTTTTTGGCGAATAAATGTTTTTAATATCTAATCTAAACCTCCCTTGACACAACTTCAGGCCATTTTGTCTTGTCTTATCACTTGTTACTTGGGAGAGTGGTAGTAGGTAGCATAAATAAGCATGGAAAAAGGCAGAAAAATGGTTTTCTTTAATCAGGGATGTAGAAGAAAACAGCATCCCAGTATCTTGGACTGGAGTGGTGGAATACTAAGCTACTTATGCCAGTGGAAGAAATATCCTTTTGCATGTTAGGCTTTGTAATAAAGTGTCACAAATTTGTTGGTATCTGTAGCTTCAGTGGTTTTAGGTTCTTCCTTGCACATTACTGTAGTTGTACAAGCTCCTGATGCTTTGTGCCAGTGCACATGTGGCTGTGGACTGAGCTGATGCAAATTAAGCAGAAATGAGTGTTTGGTGATATTTTATCACGAAATCACCAGCTGTCTCTGCAAAACAAAACAAAAAAAAAACCCTGCAGGATGTATGACTAAGGAATTGAGGAATGGGGGAATATTACTGGACTGTTCTTTTCAGTGTGTCAGTGATGGCTTGCTGTAGCATTAGCTAAGACATTTTGTAAAATCCTACTTTTAGCCATAAATCTGTTTGCTGGGAGGAATGAAAGATGACTGGGATGATCGGAACAGTGCTTGGTTCTGCATTTCTGGAAAGATCTGGTTACATTAGTAGTTTCTCAGAAGGGCACAGTGTTGTTCCTTGTTTTATTTTCAGGAACTGCTCTTAATTCTCCTCTGCACTGCCATAACTGCCAGGAATGTTGATGGTCTGTTTGGGTGAGGACCATAGCTAAGAGTATTTCATTAACTGTTTTCCTTGCGCTTTTTTGCTTTTCTTGCTTTGGATGCAAAATATCTAGAGGTGCCATACAGGAGGCTTACTTGGTGTGTGCAGTAATCCATCTGCTCTTTGCTCCATTCTGATCTGTTCATACTTCACCTCATAATGCCAGCGTCTTTCAGCCTGTTAAATAGGAAATCAGAAGCTTAAAGTGAATGTGATCCTCATCAATCTCATGTCCGAGTATTTTGGTGATCTTACACAAGAGATTGTTGAAAAAACCTTCAAACAATGTGTTTCTGTTCAAATTTCACAGTAGAACAACTCTCATGGGAGGTGAATGCTACAGCCATTAAAGTCTGAAGGGAGCACAAGATGTGCTAGCAAAGCAAAAATGAAGGAGTGATGATCATTGTCTTGCTTTCTGTACAAACTCTTTATAAGCCTTGTGTTCACTAATTTGCTCCAGTTAATGTGCTCACAAAGAAGCAGTACTGGGGAGGATGAGTAGCAGAGGAAGTGTTTAGAGTTAAATTACTTGTAACTCAGAGCTCTGCCTGTTGCAAGAGAAAAGGTAGAAATTCAGCTAGACTTGAGTAGTCCAGGTAAGACTGTTACTAAGCATAACATGCAATGATATCTTTTTAGAGTTACTGGTTTGGAGTGTTATCTTCTTGAGAGGCAATGAATAGTTACTCCAGTTTACCTTCAGGTGTTAAAATAAAAGACATATTGTCGTGGATGTTTAATAAGATCTTCTGTCTTTGGGTTTGTAGTAATTGACTTAATAATCTTAAATACACTGGAGACTGAAGGACTAAAATAAGTCTTTCTTTTTATCTCAGAAAGCGTAAGCATAGAGATTACAGGTGCCCACTGAATGTGGATTTTGCACAGTGGAGGACTCGGTATAACTTCTGTTGTCATATTCTACTTGTAGGTAAAAAGAACATACTCTCATGGTACGTATAGAGCTGGCCCAATGAGACAGATCAGCCTGGTTGGAGCAGTTGATGAGGAAGTGGGGGATTACTTCCCTGAATTCCTTGATATGTTGGAAGAATCACCCTTCTTAAAAGTAAGGACAGAAGGGAATGGGCTGGGAGAAGGGGGACGACATGCTCTATAGTGCTGTTATAATAATAAAGTGAGAGTATGTGATACTTGTTTAGATAATTGAGTGTTCTAATAAATGCTTTCATCATGAGAGATAAAGGCTGCTTTTAACAAGGATTTTAAAGTAACTCACTTGAAAATTGTGGCTTTTATTTCCCACTAGTGTACACTGCCATGGGGAACACTTTCTAGTTTAAAGTTAGAGAGTCGTAAAGACAGTGATGATGGTCCCATTATGTGGGTACGTCCAGGAGAACAGATGATCCCTGTGGCTGACATGCCAAAGTCACCTTTCAAAAGGAAGAGGTAAGTTGAATTATTTTACTTGGTAAATGTCTGGTTAGTAGTGTTTTCTTTACAAATTCATTTTATCCCAAACCTTTTACTGTTTGATATTATATTTTAATATAATTTGCTGCAAATCTTCATCTCCAAACCAAATTTTGTTGTTTTGTTATGTAAGACTGGAATTTTTGTTTAAATTTTTACTGTCTGGCCAAGTAAGGTGCTAAATCTTCATCTCCAAACCCAATTTTGTTGTTTTGTTATGTAAGACTCTGGAATTTTTGTTTAAATTTTTACTGTCTGGCCAAGTAAGGTGCTTGTCCTTTTTGGAGGTTTAGTAGAACTATAAGGTGAAAACTTCAGGAAAATGTGTACACACATGCAATTACTGATATATGCCATGAGACTGCAGTTGATACCCCTTGAAGTTGTTACATGTGAGTGGATGTGTTGTGACCTCTGGGGACGGGAGCTTTTCTCTCACCTTGCAGGTAACAACTCCAGCATTAAATGGAATCTTTAAGCTTTGCTGTGGTACTGGGTATAAGAACCAGGTGAAGAGTAGGGAGAGCCTCTGCAGAACTTGAGTATTGTATGTCATAAGGAATTGTCATGGGAGTTCTTTTCAAAATGAGAACACAAAAAGGGAGTGTACGAGAAGTGGCAGCAGGGGCAGGTGCCTCAGGAGTATAGAGACATTGTCCAACCATGAAGGGGATGCAGTTAAAGCCAAAGACCATCTGGAGTTGAATTTGGCAAGGGATGTGAAGGGCAGCAGGGACCTCCACTGCATATGGACAGTAGAAGAAAGACTAGGAAAACTGAAGGCATTTGCTGAATGGGGCAAAGGACCTGGGGACAAAGGACACAGAAAAGGCTGAGATAGTACTTTTTTTCCTGTCCTTGTCTTTTCTAGTGAGATTTCCTTTCAGGAATGCTCTGTCCTGGAGACAGTAAGAGTGTCTGGAGCAAGGCAAGTGTCCTCTTGCCTTCAGTGGAGGAAAATCAGGCTAAGAAACTTCCTAGACATGTGGATCAGACAGACACAAGCCCGTGGGACCTGCTGGGATGGGTCACGTCCCACAAGGGCAGTGGGAGCTGGCCAGTGTCATTGCAAGGCCACTGTCTTTGAAAGGTTATGGCAATTGGCAAAGGTTCCTGAGGACTGGAGGAAAGCAAAAGCCACTCCAGTCATTTAGAAGGGTAAGAAGCAAAACCTGGGGAACAGCAGGCTAGTCAGTCTCACCTTCATCCTGGGAAGTTGCCATTTCAAGCGTGAGCAGCCCAGCAGATGGAGGGACAGGGTTCTTCCCCTCTGCTCATCACTGGTGAGACACATCTGCAGTAGCATGCCCAGTTCTGGGCTCACCAGGCTAAGGCAGACATGGCCACACTGGAGTGTGTCTGGTGACCTGGGAGAACTGGGAATTTCTCTTGAGAAAAGAATGCTCAGTGGGATCATATCAATGTGTTTAATTACTTCACAGAAAGTTGTAAAAAGGACTTATTTCAACAGTGCCCAGTGACATGAACAGAGAAAACGGACACAAACTGAATTACAAGAAAATAATTTCAAAATAAGGAAAAGAGTTTTTTTTTTTTTTGCGTAGATGAGCAGTCCTATTGGCTGTGATGGGAATTAGATAATTCAGAGAAATTTCTATATCACTGTTACTGTTTTTCTTATGCAGAACTACCAATGAAATAAAAAACTTGCAGTACCTACCTCGAACCAGTGAACCCCGTGAAATGCTCTTTGAAGACCGGACCCGAGCCCATGCGGATCACATAGGACAAGGTTTTGAACGACAGACCACAGCTGCTGTGGGAGTGTTGAAGGCTGTGCACTGTGGGGAGTGGTAGGTGTTGATTGGCTTCACCTAGGTGTCTGAAAAAGGTGTCTGAAAAATGTTTGCCTGGATTGCCATTTATAATTGGAAGGAGTGTGGAATAGGTTAAACTAGGATTAAAGATTCGATGAAGACTTCCTAGGTGCTGGCTGAGCATTAGAGGTTTGTGTGCTCTCTTTAATTGCCTGTGGCTTTGCTGTGTGGCTGAAACCAGAAAGGTACCTTGCAGTGACAGTTCAGTTGCTGTAATTGAGTTGCTGTTACTGAGGTCATGTTAGATGTAAAAACACCTCACACTTCATTTTGCTTCAAGTGGTGCATAGAGACTGAGCTGTTACTGCACATGGAGAGGGACCTTCTGGCAGTTCTTTGTGTTGTCTGGAGATGAGCTGAATTCTTCTGCTTCTGCTTCCCAAGTCATGGTCATCATAACCTTGATTTATTTATGGAAGCTCACCTAGGAAGAATCCTGTTGGAAGTTGGGCGATATTTTTTGTTTCTGTCTTTAGAATTCCTGTGTGAGATTCAGGAAATGAAATGTGCCTTGTTTGAAGCTTGTTTACATGTTAACTGAGTAAGAAGCCCATAACCACATGGGCTTCCTGGTCCAGATCGAAGAGGCGTTTTTCAGCATCTTCAGACTGTAAGAATGATCTTCGTTTTGGAGGTTACCTTTGCATGTGTAAACACTGTAAATACCTTCTTCTCTTTGAGTCTGTCTAGAAATTAGAAGAGTGAATTCCCTTTGGATAAAATGATGTGAATTTGTGTTGCAGTGCATGAGTTCACTGACATGGAAAGTAGAATAATTGTCACTGGGGAAGAACTGGATTGTTCAGATGTTAATGTATTTGTCTCTGGGGCTCTGAGGTTTTCAGTTTCCTTCCTCTTCAGGTTGATGATGGTGGGAGCCTTCAACTTCCTGCTTGCTCTGACTGTGCTGTGGTGAATTAAGACTGAGCAGTAGTAGCAGGGCAAGAGCTGAGATAACTGTGTAGATCTGAATATTTTAAATTACACTTTGCACATTTGAGAGAGGGACTTGCAAAGGAAGTAAAGAAACCAAACAAAACCCCACTCCCCAGACTAGGAATTTAAGTGTCTGGGAACTTCCCATTCTCATCCTATAGCTTTATAGTATATTTGAAAGTCCTTCAGTTTAAGGAATAAAAAAGAAATATCAGCATTTCATTTCAGTGTAAAGGCTGAATGTGTCTTTTAATTCTGAATAAAAAAATTGTGACTGGTGGATGGAGAGGAGTAAAATATACAACACAAGCAACACAATAAAAGTTATGTATTTCAGGCTTGATTCAGCCTAAATTATAATTCCTGCTTTCCCTTTCCACTTTTGTGTAATTTTGAAAAGCCACTTTTACTTACATGATGAGAACTAACCAGGGCTTGTGAAAATGGAACATCATGGATTAATGTAGCACATTAAAATTATTTCAGGTATTAGTTTTGCCACAATTTGCAATCTGTGGGTGGATTTATTTTAAAGGAAACAACATGAATGAAAATTTTGAAAGTTTATTTTTGTTCAATTTTGTTTCTTTTTTTAATCTGTTTGAGTAGTTGAACAAATCTGAAAAGTTGAAGGTATTCTGAGGTGATTAAGGCACTGTGGCAGTAAAAATGCACATTCTAATGATGGGATAATGTATGTAAAAATAATGCTTTCTGTGAGGAGAAAATAAAACAATTCCTGGGCTGCCTGAACATAATCCATAAAAATGGATTGTGTGTGCAAAAAAAGGCTTTCTAAGTTGCTGTAGATTTAAACAAAGGAGGATTTATTTCCTAGTTGATAGGGATGAATGTTAATGCTAGGTGGGATAAATGTTGTCTTTAAGAACAGACAGGAACAGAACTGTTGAAAAGCAAAAAGCAGGTTATGGTGCTAGAGGACAGACATTTAAACTAAACATTGTATATTGAAGAAGAAAAAAATATTTGTCCTTTCCCAGGTGTGACAGGATCTTGATTTAAGGTATTTTGTAAAATTAATGTATTGTGATCTTCTTTTTATTGCTTTGAGTGTTTACAATTGGTAGAAGAATTCTGACTATTGCTAGCAAATGTTTTAAGGATTGAACTATTATCTGATAAATGCAGGTGTGCTCATGCTGATTACTTAATGCCATTTTCATAGGTGATACCAAGTGAGCTTTAGAACTTAAGAAGTGCCAGTGAAATTTTAATTATGGAAATTTATAGAATTTTTATGTGGAAATTTTGGGTGGATTTTTGCTGGGACAGCAAAAGGCACTTGGTAGCATTGTTGTTGGCAAAATGAAACCTGTGCTTCAGCAAGCAACTTTCAGGTTTGTGTTCTAGAGACTGAAGTTGTTCTTCTCTGTATGAATTCACAGGAATTTCTTACATATTGCCAGTCTTTATGCATTAGGCCAGAAATGTTAATGGTGGAACCTCTAGTTTTGAATCTGTTTTGAAAAGTCACAGCAAAAGGAATACAATCCTTTTGAAGAATGAGGTTAAGGGGAAAAAATACTGCCAAAACCAGTTCTAGCAGTTCTCTAGTAGAGGCTTAAATAGGTTTTTCGGAAGTTCTTATGTTTTGTTTTCATTTAATGTATTTTTGGACATGAACTGAACTTCTGCTTGGGGGTAGGTACATGATACCTGAAATAAAGGTTTTGCAAAATATTATCTCAAAGTTGTGTTAAAGATAAAATCTACAAATGCAGAATTTAAAATTATCTGATAGTATTTTTTCTCAGTTGTTTGCAAAAGGAATGTTGTGTTCTGTGGCAAAATTGCAGTACAGGGCTGGTGATCCATCATCCTCTTGGACAGAGGATGAGAGTAGGAATGACAATGCATAAACCAGAATGGACACTGCTGGGAGAACACTTCGATTTGGATTGAAATTCTCTAAATGTGCAAAATATTCTTTCAATTGATTTTAAGTCTTAACTTCATTTACAAATATTGGGGACTCCAAATGCAAATTCATATTTTAAAAATAAATACCTGCATTATAAAAGGTAGATTAATGTTGTTAATGTTTTTAACACGACTGGTTAGAAGTGTTTCTGAGGCTTTTTGCTTTCAGTGTTTAAATTGGGAGTATATGGATCAAAATACAGAGACACATTTTAATCTTTAATAAGTAAAATATGTGGTCTGAAAAGTCTCCCTAGCATACTTACAGTAGTTGATCTGGGATTTTTTTTTTCTCCTGAAAATAGCCTCAGACTGGTTATTTTTTGCTTTATTGAGGCCATGACCTAAATAAAATAAACATGTCTCCTATGTTTAAAAAGCCTGAATGAACTGTACATCATTGCCTGCTTCCTAGAACAGTAATAACAGGACACACATATATCCTTACATAAAAATAGGTGCTCATCTTGCTTTTAAAAAAGGGCTCTTGAGCATCTATTGTATTCTGAAATGTTTCAGCTCTGCTGCATCAGCTGTTCCCCAGGCCCCCTGTGTCTGACTTGTACCCTGTTTTTGGAGGGGTGGAGGCAGGGTGAGGGATGTACTGGAGGGGTGGCCAGCCCCAGGAGGGACAGGAGGAGGGCAGCAGTGGGTTCTGATCCCTGGTTCCACTCCCTGCTCCCCATGGGCAGTGCCTGGGCACGCAGCCTGTGCCCACTGCGGGCCGAGGAGGTGCTGCATTCCCTGCTGCATTCCCGTCAGCCCGGGGGACTCCAGGGGGAGAAGGACAGAAATCTCTAACCAGGTCCTTTCTGGCTGAGAAACTGTCCTTGCAAAACTACTCCAAGGTGAGCTTTGTCCTTTATAAATTAAATCTTCGTATAATCACATTTAAATTTTAAAAAATCCTTCTAAAATGCAAACCCCTCAAAAGCAGTATGTAGAGCTTTTTGTTTTAATATGTTTTTAACAAGGAACAGAGTTTGGCCTTTAGATCAGGAAGTTATAAGGACTGTAGATGCTTTTGCCTTTTGTGAGCTGATTCTAGATGATGTCTCCAGAGGAGCTGTATTAATGGTATGTATTTCTTTGGGAGAGATGCTTTGGAACTAGAGATGTTTCTCCTGACAATTTGAATGTGGAGACAAAGCTTATTCAGACTTTGCTCTTGTGTAGCTCTCTCTAGTGAGCATAAATAGGGATGTATTTTTAAGGGATGTTTTGTGGAGCATGCCAGTATTGGCTGATTACTGGCATTGTGGCAGCTTAGTGTAGGTTCAGCTTTTACTCCTTACTCTGAGCAAGGTGTTGGAGGCTGAGGTGCTGAGCAGCGGTTGCCAGTGCTCCCAGTCAGACTGCTGCGTGCTCAGGTGCCTGATGGGTGCACTGTGTTGGAGTGCTGACAGAGTAAGCCCAGTGTATCTGGGACAGCTGTCTTTCAGCTTCTAGGCAGCCAAGAGGCCAGTTAAAAATAGGAATGAAAAACAGTGTGTTTTGTTGGCCTTTTATTGCTGCCCAGTTTAATGAGGTTGTGTTTTAGAATTAACTGTTCTGATCAACTTTTTTTTTCTTATTGTTGGTTATGGTAGAGTTGTTGTGTTTTTTAAGTTTAAAAATTTGCTTTTTCCTTGCCTGCAGACTTTGTTATTTTCTGCAGCCTGGTAGTTTCAGCCTCTGACTGTGCACTTCTTACTCTTCTGTAGGTCTGAGCAGCCTCGTATAACCAAAGATGTAATTTGTTTTCATGCTGAGGACTTCTTGGAGGTAGTTCAGCGAATGCAGTTAGATTTGCACGAGCCTCCACTCTCACAGGTAAGCACACTAAGAACTGATGGTCATTGTCCTCTGAGTACTAAGTCAGAGTTTTCACCTTTCCTCAACCTTTTCCCTACAGTGTGTCCAGTGGGTTGATGATGCAAAACTTAATCAGCTGCGAAGGGAAGGCATTCGATATGCCAGAATCCAGTTATTTGATAATGACATTTATTTCATCCCGAGGAATGTTGTGCACCAGTTCAAAACAGTTTCAGCTGTGTGTAGTTTGGCTTGGCACATCCGGCTCAAGCTCTATCATTCAGAGGAAGAGCTCTCTCAAAACACAAATACTGTTGAAGCAGGGACCTCTGCAGACCCCAAGTCTTCGGTTGTTGTACTTCAGACTGACAGAATTTGTACCGTGAGCAAAGATACCTCTGAAGACACCAAATTTCCAGATGCTCTGCAGACCAAGTTCCTGCAGCAGGAGTTTTTGCCGATAAAACATGAACCTCTCGCATCCCTCCGTGTAAAAGAAGAACCCATGAATGTTGATCTTGCTGAAAAGACAGTGACACCTAATGATGTCGGGGGACAGAATGTTCAGGCTAGGCTGGGTCACGCTGAGTTGACATCACTGAAGTTGGAAATGGATTCTAAATTTGAAACCGGCAACAAGGACTTACAAGGCAAGTTGTGCTCTGGAGGTCATGTACATCCAGATGATACAAGACAACCTAGCTCATCATATCCAAAATTGCATGGACAAAGAGAGGATGATTTTTTGTGCTAAATTTGTATATATGGTTTTAAATTCCTTTTTAATCTTAATGATGTAATAATGTAAAGATCATAAATTGTGAGGCAAGTTTGTGACTTGTCTTCGCATCTGTTACAGAAAATAGTTATGTAGCTTTGTAACATTCCTCAGTGCCTGTCCATAACTGTGAAGTATCAAAGCACTTAGGGCCAGATGCACTGTAAACACTGCAGGTTTAACATAAAGAAGTCTTTAAATAATTTTGAGTTGTAGGTTTTAGAGTAGAGCTGACATTTAACATATATATTTTTTGTAAGATGAGCCAGAATTCTTTTTGACAATTCCAGGCTTTTCCATAGAGCTTATTTATACCAATTTTTTTCATTTTAAATGTGTCAGCACTGTAGTGTAAATATCTTTTTTAAGAATCTTTTTAGTGTGATTTATACTGAAATGTGAGCCGCTTAATAAAGGTTCATAATAACAGATTGGTTTTATTTTTGGGTCTGCAAAAAATAATTCAGTTCAACTGCCTCTCTTAGTGGTTATGTTTCTACCTGCCACTAATGCATAGGATGCCCTTACGCCTTGAGGGTGAGGAGCTGTAGCAAACTGAGGTAGAGCTGAGGCATCTTTGCAAATGCAGATTAGTCAGAAGGCAGAATCAGTCCTCCCTTCACACGATTCCTTGTGGATTCCTTATGGGTGCTCGTTCCAGGCACTCCCCAAACTCCTGCTGTCAGATACTCATGTGGAACAGGGAGTCAGACTGTTTGGGCAGTTGGACACACAGTGGGCTCCAGGAGTGCTACCAGTACCGGCCTGCATCTCCCTAGATGAGCAGGTGCAAGGGAGCAAACTCTCCTGGGCTTTGCCTCTTGGCCCAGCTCAGGGCACAGGTCAGACAGTTCCACTTCACATTAAAAAAAAACAAACAAAAAAACCCAGAAAACCAACAAACCCACAAAACAAGCCTAAAAAGCAACCACTCCCTCAAATCTGTTACCTGACTGCAATTAAAAGGATATTTAAGTCATTACTTACCAAGCTAAAAAGGCCCCAACTTTGGCAGTGACCTGTAATTCACAGAGACATACCTGGATTTGAACTGCTCCCTGTGCTGATAGTGCCAGGCAGTAAAGAGGCTGTGTTGCCAATATGTGTAGTGGGAAGGTTCCTCATGAGTCACAGTTTGGAAGCAAGAGGTGTTTCATTAAGAAAATAACAGCAGTGTCCAAGTTAACTGTTCTCTTTCCCCATCTGTGGAACACTTGGAGTCTTTTAGGTAGTGTTCTGAGAGAAAAGAATTTCAAGGCTAGCTAGCGTCTGATCTGGTAACTGTTATTTCACGTATTTATTCTTTGTGTATTGTACTCCTGTGTAGTTCAAACACAGCAAATGATACGTGTGTCATGGATAGCTGCACACAGCAGTGAGCTGCCCTACAGCCTGTCCTTCAGCTAAATATGTCAAACTTCAGATCCAAGGCCTATTATTTCCAAAGCCCTATGTATCTCTGATTTTTGTTAGGAATTTTCTGTATAACATTTTTGAAAGTTGTACATCCTTAAGTACCCAGTTTATAAACTTTGGTGCAATTAGTGGTCATTTTGGCTTCATTTGTAGCAATAGAAAAATGTGATTTTTTTCAGGCAATGTCCAGTTCATCTACCTGAGGTTCTTCTGTTCTAAATGCTTTTTTCCTTATAGGTCATTAAAATTTAAAACATTACTGCATAGTCACAGGTGGCACTAAAATCAGCTATTTACTAGATGAGTGCCCTGATTGGTTTAATCCAAAATATGTTTGTCAAGAAATTATTAATTAAATCAATATTTGAATTGCTAAACATTACTCCTAGATAGCCATAAATATGTATTAGAGAAGCAATAGAAATGTGAGTCTCTTGGATGTGACTAATACGTCCTTAAGTCTTACTACTGTTTTCTTTAATGCTGGCTGAGAGATTACTACCAGTTTTCCAGCCTCAGGGATCTTTCTTTCCCCTTTGCTGTGAGCAAATGATTCATGTGTGATGTGGTATGTTATTGCTCTAGCAGATTCTGATGTGAAAAAATTAATTTGTTCATGTAAGAATTTGAGCCTTCCTTATAGCAGAAATGTGGTCTCAGCTCCCTTTATTGTTTCTGGATTTTCTGGAAATAATGCTTCCACCTGTAATCTCTGGCTTCATGAACACCCATCTACAGTTACCTGGCCATTCCTGTTCTCTGTGCTGCCCATGGGACAACAGCAACAGAGCAGAGCTGCAGGTTGTAGCTTGCACCAAGCACGCAGCTCTGCAGGGGGGATAGATGGGGGCTCCAGCTTTAGCCAAACCAGCCTTGCCAGATACTGCTTTTTAAAACAAAAACCACACAAAACAAACTCCCAAAACTATTTAGTTGACTCAGAATAGCAATCTTAGCAATGTGCTGGTCATGCATACGCCGACCGTTCGTTCGGGTTCAAGTCATTTTTGGTAACGGGTCAGGTTTTAGTGCAGTGTGGACATACATCCCCCAGGACAGCTGCCAGCTTTCTGCAGCATAGGCCCTGTCCAGACAGAAATAATAAATCTTTGAAAATGATGAGCAAATACAACTTTACACTTCTGAGTAGAACTTTGTTTCCTTTTGGAGACCTGCTCAGTGGTCTTGGCTGATGTGGTCTTGAACTTCTGCTCAGGTATCTTAGTCCTGAGATTTTTCTTCTGAAGTGCCCACATATTCAACCCATTCTTTTCTTACCGCTTTCAGAATTTTAAGAGATGTTTTAAAGTGGCAGTTGTTTTGCAGTTTTTATTTATTCTTTTGGTTTTTTGAGACCGACTAGGTTCTCACTTTAGGCAGAATTCCTTGCAGACAGAATTTGAACCATATTGGGATTTTCAATGGCTACCAGACCTCCCTTTGCATTTACAGATGTCTGCAGTCTGGGCTGTGTGGCTGCATTACTGTTTACTTTTTACTTGCTTTTTAAAGAAAAGATTTAAAAGAAATGTCCTTTCGCTGTGGTATGTTCATTTTAATGAGGTTGTCCTTTGAGAGGGGAGTACTTTTTCTGAGAATTTCACCTCCCAAATTGTTCATTAATCTGACAATGGCCTTGCTTCAGTCCTGTGCTATATAGCTTTTATTCCTGCTGCATACAACTGCATCTTCAGACTTTTGCTTCAGCAATAAATCTTTCATGTGTTCTGCTGTACTGAAATTAGTCCTTGCTTATTGCTTTTACCCCTTCTCTGGATTTTGGTGATATATAAATCTGTTATTTTGGCTGAAATCTCCAGTGTTTTAGTTGTCTCTCCTGGCCCTTGTTCTTGTGCAGATTGGAGAGAGCTGCCCGAGGCCATTGGTGCTGCTCCTATCTCCCTGCACATGCAGTGGTGTTCCAGTTAATAACAGGATGTGCAGAAAATTAGACGTTTTCCTAGATCCTGGTACATATTTTTGGGTAGCAAAGAATTGCATTGTTACAGTTGCTAAAAAAGCTTTCAAGGGGGTAGCTACTTTTTTTTTTTTAATATTACTGGATCTTTTGCATTTCACTGGCAACTGACTTCATGTGTTACATACAAGTGTTACTCAGTGTTGTGTCACCCCCAGCCCTCCAAATGCCTGAAAATTGACTCTGAAAGAACATTTTCATTACAGGTACTGCTGGCATGCAGATTTTCCCTTCCTTGTTACTATAGCGGATATTTCAATACTACTTTAACTGATATTAACTCTATCTAGTATTAGAAATAAAGTATTATTTTAGAGGGTGATGATTTAATTCTTCATCTGTGAAATAATTCCTTGGTGATAAATAAAGTTGATTATTAAGTGGATATACATGTGCACAGTACATAAGTTGGAATTGCAAAAGATGTAGGAAATGGAAATCTGAAATAGTAGAATGCTTTGAAAGCGATCTGAACATTACAGATTTGGAAAATTGAGTAAGTCTTCCAAGAAACACAAGACTGGTATTTATTTATCAAAATGACTGTTTCCTAATATCTGCATGTGAACGAGATGCCGAATTGACCAAAATAAATCCATGATTTTTCCTTGTTCATTGGCAGAATGAACTGTTGTGAGATATTGCACTGCCACGTGACCCTGCTAGGCTGAAAGCTGTACTGATTCTGGTCAAGAGATCAAAGAACTCCTCAAGCTTCTCAAGTGTCATTTAATTTATTTTCTTGTAGTGGTCAGGTATGTAGAGAGCCTTGTGTTTAGGCAGCACAGTGCCTGTACCTTACCAGGATGTATCCAAGCTGGAAATGGAAAAGACAAGTTTCCACTGCTTTGTGCTTTGCTGTGAATGACTGTCTAGAATGTTTGATTTGATTATGAGTCACTGTGTTCAGCTGATATTACTTTCTTAAACAGATGAAATGCACTTTAAAATTGTATAGAAGTTACTGATATTTTGTGCAGATCCCACTGAATTTGCAGCATATGTGGGAATATTTGGGGGACTGATTCCCATCACTCACTCATTTAATTTTTCTTAAAATGCAAGTTATTTTGTGTTCTGTTCAGAAGCAGTGATTAACTTCACAATATTTAGGTTGCTGTTTCTGTTAGAATCATCAGGGATACTGACATTGCAAATTTAGTGTATTATATTCTAACCACTGTTTTTCTCTGTGCTTTGATGCTGATATGATCTCTGCTTTGAAGCCGTGCTGTACTTGAGTGCCAGCTGAACATTGATCTTCTCTTGTTCTGGTCATGCTGATAGATGAGCCTACTGATGAGGGCGTTAGTCCTAAATAGTCCTTTAATATTTGGTGTACAGTTACCTGATACAAACATTGATTAAAACAGCAGTTTAAACTTCTATTTTTATCAAGTTTGATTTTTCAATAGCTATTTTGATACTATGTTTTATCATTTAATTTGCACCATCACTGGAATGATGGTGCCATGTTGGGTGCAGCTCAGGCCTGTGTTCTAAGGGCTGTGCTTTTTATGGGAGCTTTTTCACCTGGTTGTGTTGAGACAAAGTGGAGCAGTTAGCAGAGAAAGCCGTTCCTGGTGTCTGGAGATGAAAATCTTGAGAATTAGACCTGTGTGTGGGAGACTATGTAACATAAGTCAAGGCTGCTAAATCTTTATTCTCAGCATGCAGGAGTAACACCCAGGTACTTGCCAATGTGAACTGATGCAATTGAGAGTTTTAGTTAATCCCCAAATCACCAAAATGGAATTTTTAGACTAAAAACCGTCTTAAGTTGTGATTTTTTCATGAACTTCAGAAGGAGCACTGAGATAAAAATTAAGGTGGATGAACTAAGCTCACATGCTCATTGCTTTCCTGTTTCTTGCTCTTAGGCTGTTCTGCACTGTAGGGAGACTTTTCTTATATTTCTCTGCTTGGGATGTTGGTTTTGTTAGGAAAGGCAGATCAGAGGGATGGCATCACTGAGTAGCAGATTTTCCTGTTCTTTATCCCACTTCAGTACAAGTCCAAGGAGAAAATGCAGAGTTTGTATTGAACAGTGCTCTAGTGGTCCAGCTGCAGAGATTCTGTAAGTTGCCCTAGTTCAGAGCCTGATGCTTTTCAGCAGCAAGGTGATACCCAGGCCCATTCAGGTCTACAGGGCTCTTATGGGAGATTAACTCCATCAAAACCTAAAAAAAGGTAAAGTTACAGTGAAAAGGTGCAAATGTTCTTTTCACAAGTCAGCATAGTTGTTTTTACTGCAATCCTAATAAAAAAGCATAATGTGTTACATGGTAGTGCTATGTTTTCCATGCTAGTAAATTCAAACAACTTGTTTCTGAGGATGCAGTTATTCAGGAGATTTATTACTGAAGAGCCATGTTATTTTTTCCCAAAATTATATTGATGTTAAAATTCTGAGTTTATAGTAGTCTCATAATTTTCACTTTCAATTCCACTTTGTGTCACCCAACTTTTTACACTGTGGAAATGTGAAAATTTTCATGAGGTTAGGCAAACATTTTGCTTCTGTACTATGATGCAGATGTGTCAGAAAGTAATACTGATAATACATCTCTCAAATGGTTGTGTACCCTGTCCTGTGCTAGTTCAGGCTTTGATACTGCCCTCTGTGCCTGGCAGTGCATTTTGTGTGTGTCTGCACTTGTTCTCAGAGCATTCAGGTTAAACTTTGTTGTAGGTGGGGATGCACATGTCACATAACTGCATTTTTCAAGTATAAAAAGAGCACAAAACTGGGTACTGTTCTAAAATGGTGACAAATCAAGCAAACCAGTAAGAATTTGCAATTGAAAATTTCAGTTTCACACACGTGTGTGAATGATTTTCTGTAATCAGACAAAAGCAGATACTCACCTGCAATGCATGCTGAAGTGTTCAAACTTGTATAAATGATGGAAAGAGAGAAATTATGTGGAATGTATCTCTCCATGTCCAATATATATCATCAGTACAGAGAAATACTTCCATTTGGTTTCAACAAGCTTTTGAATTGCAGTTTAAAACAAAGCTCCCGAAGGTCAAGTTCTCTCCTTTGCCCCCCATCAGCTGCTGCAGGGAGCTGAGACAACACCCTTGTGCCTTTTTTATCACAGATCAGTGTGAGCCTCAGCATGGAGCTCTCCTTTTCCCTGCCACCTGCAGCAAATTTGCTTTTCACTTGTTTTATCTTGTTACTGAAGATCAGTTGGTAAATTTTGGAGAATGTGTGAGGAGCATTGGTTCCACTTCCAGGCTGTGATCAGCACCTTTGAGAACAAGGTAATTATGAGCAGATGTAATTAATTCCTGCAGCTGTTTCTGGGAAGGTCACAGTGGGCTATAGTCTACTTTGTATCACAGATCCTTCTGAGTGAAGTTCTGACAAGGCAGAGAAGCAACACTGAAGATCTTAGCCCTGTTCAGGTCAGTTAAATATGATACAAAATTCTCAAAAGGGATATGCTCTTGTCCAAGTTCCCCTGTAAGGACAAGGAACTTGGAAAATTGAGCACTCCTGTCTGGCTGTGTGTGACTTCTGTATGACACCAGCAAGAAGCATCTGCTTCAGCTTTCCAAATAATTTATTTAAAGGTTTGTAAACCTTTTTTTTAAAAAAAAAAAAAAAAAAAGCCAAACCCACAGCCAAAACTGAAATTGTTGATCTTTTTCTATTGAATTAGAGGCAACAATTACAAGGAGATTTGTAAGGACTGTGTGTGATTCTAGTTAATTAGAGATGCCAAACTTTCAGATAATTGTTACATCTGTGGAAGAGAAGGGGTTTATTAAGGGGGCAGAGTCACCATTCACGGCCCATCTTGCTAATAATACACCAAGTTCCAGTGAAGCCAGTTCTTATTCTTCCATCTTTTGTTTTATATCATAACAATCAATTACCATGGTCAGCTCAGCTGAGGAAACCTGCTCTGCTTTCCTGAGCAGCATGGGGCTGTTCTGGCATCCTCTGAACAAGGGGGTTTGGAATTTTATTCTTCCAGAATCATCAGATGGGAAAGGACTATGGGTGTTACTTTATGCTTCGTCCCATACCTACTCCAGGTAAGTGTGTGTGTGCAGATAAAATCATCTTGGGTGAGGTGCTTAAATGCTTGTTACACACTTGTATCACTGCTTGTTAAGTGGGTCATCAAAGTTTACCTGAATTGGAGGTAGGGCTTTAGATACTCTTCATCGATTTTGAAACAGCCATAACAAATGCACAAGGTCTAGATTGCCTGCCATGGAGTGGCATTCCATTCCAGGCAGCAGCTCCGTGGCCTGGGTTCCCATGTGCAGAACAGAACCAAGTGGGAGGTGCAGATGAAGCCTGTTCTCCCCACCACACACACCTGTAGCCAGCAGGTCTCAGAGCGTGTCCTGAGATTAATGTACCCCTCCCCACAGCTCATCCTAATCACAAGTGCCAATTTTCCGTGAAAAATCACTCAAGACTGAGGGAAGTCAGTTCTCCACGGGAACCTCACATGAATGGGCAAGAAGTTTCAAAAACAGAGTAGGATCCTTCCATTAAGTGTTCTTCAGAACTACACAATGCATAGCTACACCTCCTCCAAACAGCTGTTCCTCCTAGGCACTCCCCATAAATGACCTGATGTCCATACCTTGGGGCTGGGTACATGGGTTTGCTTAGTAAAAGCTGATGAGTTATAATAAAAATAAAGGGTTTATAAATATTTTACATTTTTTTTAACAACAGCTACTGTTTAGAATTCTTTTGTCTCTGTCTTTTTCTGGCTTCTCCTTTAGCAAGGTAGGACAGTCAACCACTCTGAAATAAATATTACTTAAATTCATTTTATAGATAATTTGTTACCTGATATTCTGAATTGAGATTCATTGCCTTAGAATGGAACATGTTGTTTTCTTAGATAAAGCTCTAAGCAGTCTCCCACAATATGGTTCCTCTCTATTTTTACCCATGTCTGTGTGATGAAACAGCAAGAGTAAATCCAAACACTTCAGGAAGTTTTTTTTTCCACAGACAAGTACAGTTGAATTTACATACTTAAAATTTTATTAGTGAGACACTTGTGTAGGTATGTCCTGTTACCCTGGACTGTTTTTCATTCACTTGACATTCTTTTGTCTCTAGGAAGTGTAAATGGATCAGTACTTTCAGTATGCATGTTAATAATGTCCCAGATAACGGCTACATTTCAATTTGGTGTTACTGTATCTCCTGCAAGAGCACTTCAGTCCACAAAATACACTTGTAGTTCCAGTTCTTCCCTGACATCCTGTGCACCTGTTACCTGAAAAAGGTCATTTCCTCACATCTGAGTTTGCCAGTGCTCCATGAAGCCAAGGCTTCACACCCAAAAATTTCATATCCTCAGGTATTAAAAACTGTCTTGTTCAAGTACCACTGTGGGCAGGTACAAATGCAGTACTGAACTCACCTGTATTTCAGTTTCTTGCAACATTGGTGATTTCTCACCTGGAAAAGAATCAGCATTGTCTCCCTCTTCTCTGGATCTCAGGATGGCTGGCACAGCTCAGCTACCAACTACATTCCCTAAGGTTAACATACTGGTTATGGGCTGTTTCAGCAGCTTAGAAAACTGCTTATTTTTACACTGGTAGTGGAATCTCACTGTCCAAAACAAACAAAAAGGTGTATTACTTTATTCCTTTTCTTGCTCTTATTTGGCTGCTGTCAATTGCTACTGATTTTTAAAGCAAATTTAGCTTCTTATGGAAATTACTGTTAACTGGTTATTTCTTGACTTACAGTGTAAGTAGCAGAAAATGTTAGTCTTCTTTCCCAGGATTACTCAATGTGCTGAATACTCTGGGTGGAGCATTTGTGGTTTCTTTGACAAGGTCTTCTACCTGCACGTGAAGAACCAGTATCTTATTCCATGTAACAAATGTCAGTAATCATATTAGAACAGCTTATGTTGAACAAATACTTTTATTTACAAGAGCATATGTGAGTTTTAAAATAAAAAAAATGCAACATCTACTTTCAGTCTTCAGTCTGCTTTAGCTTAAGTCTCCAGCTTGACTCATTTGGCTGTCTAGTTTGAAGATCAAATTTGTGGCAAAATGGTAATAATCTAGTAATTTGGTGCCAATCTTGGCACTGGAAACCACCTGGCATAGCCTAGTCTCTTCGTACATAGAAGATATTGTATCCAAGTTCAACCATGCCCCCAATCAGCAAGGCCCAGAGCGGGATGAACACGTAGGCCAGTTTCATGGTGGTGAATCGCTGCAGCTTGGCACACAGGGCGAGGCAGAAGGCCAATTTCAGCAGCATTGCAATGAGGTACCACACTTTCTTCTTCATGTTCTGGGAGCCATTGCGAGGGTCAAAGCCAGACTTGCAGCGTCCGGCCATTTTTACAATTAACATAACTAGAAGAATTGTGTCAAATATCCACACTGGAATGAAAATGAGGAACCAGTTCCACGGTGCTTTCTCATCCAACTTCAGCACCAGCATGATCAGGAAGAGTAAGGTAAAAAGCCATGTCAGCAGCACTCTTTGCGCCAGGGACATTCTCATTTAAACAGCTTTGAGAGGAAGGCCTTCGCTGTCAGCAACAACCTAACAAAACAAAAAGGGAGGGAAGGCATCAAACGATGGCACACCACCACCATTAGCGTATTTCATAAAGGAGACCAATTCCTTGCTCTTGCTTTCCCACTCCTAACCTCACCCACATACTGCTTCCTAGCACTTTCATAATTAGCATGCTCAGCTGAACAGTGTTTGCTCCAGTCCACCATTGCCTTGGAGTGCCTTAAGTCAGCTGTGCAACTGCCTTAATCTAAACTTGTTCTGTGAAACAAACTGTACTTTAATCCTAAACGAGCTGTCAGATTCATTTAGGGATTTTTGAATGCTAAGAATATGTTTAGTTCCATTTTCCACCAGTACTGAGGCACTCATAGCTAACACTTGAAAACAAAACAGAACAGTTCTCTCTCTGTAACAAAATAACCACAGTAAAAGGTGAACCAGCACAAAGGAGCGCAAAAACCCTCGGCGGGATCCTGCAGTTTGCAGAGCTGCAGCTGGAGTGATCGGGGCTCAAACCGAGCCGGTGAGCACTGCCCAGCTTTCTGTCAGCCAGCAATCTTGAAATTACTGAAAGCTACAGATAACGTTTGCTTTTTGGCAGGTGTCTCAAGTATTTCAGACACTGGCTGACAGGTTTATTTGCTGGGGAGGATATTTAAATTTCTCTGTAGTCATGACAAAAGAAAAACAAGACAAATGCATCTGCCGCTGCAGTCATGAAAGTGAAGTTTTTTATTCCTAACTGGATAGTTTTTACCACTGCATCTGCCACAAGCCTTTCACTACAAGTGTAAAAAACAGAAGTGTGAAGGACTGTGATCGTTCTCTAGATTTCATGCTACAAAAATGAATAATTTCTATCAGTGAAATGGTGCTGAAATAGGTATTTTAATTATTTTAAAAATTGGAGTGAAAATTTTTACTGATTCCCTTTAGAACACAAATAGTCTTTCACCTGAAATAAGAAAATGAGCTTTGATTTGTTCCAGACTAGAAAAATACTTGAATTACTGAAAGTGTGACGTTGTGCTCTGCAGCACTGAATCCTCAGCACCAGATGCTGAGGGAGGGACAAGAGCTGCTTCCCCTCTGTGCCCCCAGCGCCCAGGAGCTGCTGCTGCTTCCTGTGTTACCAACAAGGCACACAACATCCCCTGGCTGTGCCTGCTGAGCTCACCCAACCAGCAGAAATCTACTGCCACCTTTTTTTTTATATATAATAGGAATAGTTTTTTTGCCTGATTAGGAAGTTGAACAAATTCTGTGCTCAGATAAGATTTGCTGTTGGAAAGAGGGAAATAAAAGTTGCTGTCTCAGCTGGTTATGAGATGATTTACTATTTTTACAGTGAGGGGATGACAATTTTGTACATCACTGAAATCATCCTACAGTTTAAATCTGCATCTTCTGACCCACAGTTCAACAAACAGATCTACTATTTTGTTCAGTCTGGGTTTGAAGTTTGAATGGATTTGATTTAGTGGATTTGATTTAGTATGATTTCTTGTAAGAAGATCCAGTTTTGCCTAAAATAATCTAAACTGGAGTTGCAGTCAGTGCATCCCCTCTTTGTTTTGGACTGACACTTGTGTCCAAATTAGGCCAGTTCCCTGAGCTGAACTAGAAAAAAAAAGGAAGTTTAAAGCAGGATTTTGTAGTTTTGCTTTTCACAGTCTCAGTTCTGCTCAGATCACCAAAGGGTCTGGTTAAAGCCAGTCCCTGACAGGAGGGAACCAAGACCCCCCCCCCTTCTCTTTGTTGGGGAAGAGGGGAAACTCAGAAGCAGCACTCAAGAGTCAAGGGGACAAAAAAATTGGAGGAGGTTTAGATAGCATTGTTTTGCTCTTGTTACAGAAACAAACCTAAACCAGCTGGCAGGGGATTACAGAACAATGACTATGTCTGGCCTAAAACATTTACAGTATTATGAAGACAATTGCAATATTCTCAAGTGCAAGTCTGTGGCTAAAGGGAGGAGTCAGGATCTGAAATGAAGCTTCAACATTCTCTTCATGAGAATGTTTTTCAAAAGCAGTTCTGGAAATCAATGCTACAAACACTACAAGAAGGAGACTCTCTTATTAGCAAACTGGAGAAAGCAGAAACCAAACAGAAACAGACTGGAAACTTGGGTCTGAAAGGAAAAAAGAAACTCAACACTCTTAGAAGTATCAGGTTATCAGATCCTCAAAGAAGGTGCTATCACCTGTCTCTGAAAGAAACACAAAGCTGCTGAAGATGTATTACGTGGGGCTACTCAATTTGAAGGTTGTTCACTTGAAAATACTTTCAGTTTGCTAAGAACCACTTTGCAACAACTGGAAAAAACAGGCAGAAAATTCAGCACGGGAAGAAGTTACCCTGCCTTTCTCTGACCTAATGGACGTTACTGCAGACTGGGCAGGACTGCAAGGCTCCAGTCAGTTTGAGAGGCATTTTCAGATGAAAACCCAAGAAAATCCAAGTGTACTTCTGAGATCTAAGAGTCCAAGTAAAGAAAGCTACCAGATCTTGAAGGCTGAGAGCTGAATATAGAGCCAACATAACAATGAAGGGTTTGATTACATGGAGCATTTGATGGTCTCATGATGATACAAAGATGATGGGCAGATTCTTTGCTGGAGCCCAGCTATCCCAGCAAGCTGGGTGACACTGGGAAAAGGAGGCAGCTGTGCCACAGGTCTGAGCTGGCTCTGCAGTGACAACACTGATGGGATGTCAGAGTGTGAAAGTTAAAAAGCTCTTGACTCCTGTTAAAGGACTGACATAATTAGAGAGTGAGCATTTTCAGTGAGGAGAAACTATCCAAGGAGCATCACTGACCTTGGTGGGACGATCTGCACAACGAGGATATTATGATAGCTAATACTGTCCTGTTTAGAAGAAAAAAATAAAGAGGAGGGCAACTTACACATGACACTCAGCTCAGAAGTAATAACATGAACCTGCACGTTTAGATTTAAACCTTGCACATCGCCTACAAAAGTCCTGAAATTGGTATTATGGTGAAACCACACTAAGCAGAACCCCAGTTCGATTAAATACCGTTTTAGAGCCTCTTCCGATCGTATGAGTAATTTAACACTTCGAAAGAAATACTGCGGTAGGCCCGGCTTAAAACCCCATTTAAACACGGCTTTGTATACACAAACTCGGCCCCTCCCTCTGGCTCACGGCCTTGTCCCGCCAGGCCCCGCTTCCCCGGCCGTGCCGGAGGTCCCGGAGGCGGACGCCCCCCTCGTTGCCCGTCACCTACCGCAGGTCCCGGCGCATCCCCCGGTCCGCGGGGCCCGCGCTCAGCTGAGGGGGCGCGGGGCCCTCCCCTGCCGCTCCGCCTCAGGGAACCGCCCGCCTCCCTCACCCGCCCCGAGCCTGCTATTGGCCAGCGGGGACGCGCGTCCTGCCGCCCTCCATTGTCATTGGGTCACGGCGACGTCGCTCAAGTTAATCCCGCCTTCCTATCCCAGCCGTCGGTGACGCCCCTCGAGCTCGGCCCGCCCGTCCCGGCCGGCGGCGGGTCAGCCTAGAGCCCCGCCCTCGCCGCCCATTGGTGAAAAGGGCTGTCTGTCACAGCGGCCCCGACTCCTCCCCGCCGCCTGTCCGTCAAGCGCAGCCCCGCCTTCCTCGCGCTCTCGTTGGGCCGAGCAGCCGCCACTCAAGCCTTGGCCCCGCCCCCGGAGGCGGAGGGGCCGCCGCTGGCTGCCGGCCCGCGCTGGCCCCGCCCCCGGGCCGGCGGCGCGCGCGGGTGGCGCGCTGTTGCTGCCGCCGCTGGCGCCTGGACGCGCGCGCCGCTCCCCCCCCCCCCCCCTTCCCCCGCCAGCCGTTGCCTCGCGCGCGCCTTCCCGCCGCCGCTGCGTGCGGCGCGCGCTGCCCCGCGGCACCGGCGAACGGTGAGATGGCGGCGGGGGGGGCTCCGGCACCCGGGGGGTGCTCCGGCACCCGGGCGCGTTCCCGCCCCGCCGGGGCAGCAGCGGGGGGGAGAACCGGGACGCCGAGTTCCCCGCGCGGCTGGGGAAGGGGCCGACCGGGGCGCGGGGGGCCGGCCGGGGCGAGGCGGCGGTGCCCTCTCGGTGCTAGGGGCCAGCGCGGCGGGGGCGCGGGGCGCGCATCACCGGCGGGGCTGCC